TTTGGGCCTCTCACTGCTCAGAAGAAATGGGCTTTGAGTAATCCTTTGCATCTCCCTCACCCCGGGGGAGAGGTGACAATATGAACAAGCCCCCAGACTAGCCTAGTGAAGAATAAATGACCAAGTGGAAAAGAGATAAATCATCTCAAATGAGGCCACACATGGAAGACAGCCCAGGCAAGAGCAGCAAAGCTGACCCACAGCTGACCACAGACATGCGAACAAGTCCAGCTGAGCCCAAAAGAACTGAGCAGAACAGTCCAACCTAAATTTCCAACCCATGGAATTGAGCGCTCAATAAATGGTAGTTGTTTTTAGCCACTAAGGTTTAGGGTCATTTGTTACTTCGTGATAGCTGACTGCTACACATGGATTAGAAAAATCAGAGATGGCTTTAAAGATCTCTTAGACTCAGCCAGTGGGGATGTTGATAAGGGCTTGATCACTTTACGTTTTTCTTAATCGAGTCACCATCCCTATAAATAGTATTTATTCCACTAGACACAGGAAGACTGAGCCCTTGTCTCTTGGTGAGAACATCCTGGCCACAATGCAGAAGACGGATTCGAGGGCACACACTGGAGAAAGGGGGAGACTAAAGAGGAGGCTGCTGCAGTAATGACAGAGGCTGAATCAAGGATGGAGAAAAATGGAAGGATTCAAGATGTATTTAGCAGGTAGATTCCCCNAGAGGCTGAATCAAGGATGGAGAAAAATGGAAGGATTCAAGATGTATTTAGCAGGTAGATTCCCCAAGATGTGATGACTAATTTATTATGGAGGGAGACAAAGAAACAAGGATAACTCTCAGGTCTTAATTCAAATGCCTTTTAAGAAAAAGTTCTGAAGTTTGCATCTGAGCTCTTCCGAGGGCAGGACTTCTACAGCTCAGCACTACTGACATTTGGGGCCATATCATGCTTGGCTGTGGGGGCTGTTGTGTGCATTATAGGACATTTAGCAGCATCTCTGGCCTCTACCTATTGGATTCCAGTAGCACAGACAGCCCTACCCACTATCACCAGCTGTGACAATCAGAAATGTCTCTGGGTCCATAGCCACACCACCCTGAACACACCCGATCCCTGATCTCAGAAGCTAAGCAGGGTCTGGCCTGGTTAGTACTTGGAATAGATACCACCTGGGAACACCGAGTGCTCTAGGCTTTAAAAGAAAATGCCTCCCGATATTGCCAATGACCCCTGGGGGGGGAAATTCCTCTAGGGGCAAGAGCTTCCCTTTATTCTCAAGTGGAGCCTGACCCACTTCTTGGCTCGTGGTACACCCTCAACAGGAGCTCAAGTCCTCCTCTTCAACTCCTCCACTTAATAGCTGTGTTTCCTGGGGAAAGTCACTTCACCTCTATGAGCCCCAATTTTCTCATTCCTGAGATAAGGATCACAATCCCTACCTCATAGCATCATCAAATGAGGTGATCCTTAATTAATTAGGTAGGTCAGTAATGAAGAGCTGGTCCTCTATACCTTGACAGGTGGAGTTGACAGAGGTGAATCCATCTTGGCACTCACAACTGTAGCTTCCCACGGAGTTGACACAATTGGAATGCTCAGGGCAGGTCCCACTGGTGTTGCACTCATTGATATCTGAGGAACAGTGGGGGAGAGTGAGCAGGCAAGAGACTGGGTGTCTAAGTTTAGAAACACATGTACCCGGTCCAATGGAAGAATGTCCACCAAAGACGCAGGCCTAGGAGCCTGGGGGCATTACCTGTGCAGGTGAAACTGCCTGCTTGTCCCAGGATCCAGTTATTTCCAGTGGGAGAAGAGAAACCAGGAGTGCAGCTGCATTTGTATCTCCCCAGAAGGTTTTTGCAGATTGAGTTAGGGCCACATTGTAGGGGGTTTTGAGAACATTCATCAATATCTGGACGGAGAAAGAGTTGGAGTTACACATTAACAACCTTTTAGAGACATATCCATGACCTGTGCAAAA